GGGGGGGGGGGGGGGTGCTTGGGAGGTGGTAAGTCAAACAGAACAGCATGCATGGGAAAGAAAGAGAAGCAGAAATCTTAATAGATGCATAAAATAATGTTTGACCTAAAATACACACTTTGCTCTGTCAAGCAATAAAGGTGGAAAAAGGGTGAGACTTTTTGCTCATGATTTTGTATTTATTAGCCTTACTATATTGACATGAATTTAATTAACTTTTCCAAGTCTGAAATATAAACACCATAAAAAGCCAATAATATGCTCTTCTGTTCCTGTGATATCAAAGCAGGATACTTCTCTTTCTCCGTATCCAACAAGTGTCCTCATCTAGCCCTTTCGATTTTCTTTTCCAAATTTTTCATGTTCTCTCTATTTTCAGTTCGTTGCACAAAATATTTCATATTCACACAAAGTCTACAAAAAGGCCATACTTTATGGGATGTGATATAGACAATTTATCCTAATACAAGATTAGTGGTTGTTTTCACGTCTCAAACCCGTAACTTATAAGTCATACGGGACGATCTTACCGCTTGCGGTTCCACGGCTTCATTCTCTCCTTTTTTAATCTAATATAGAAATGAATCTAATGGTGCCACGTCATCTGGTGCCACGTCAACCCGTAACTAATCTATGCTTTTAATCTAATGGTGCCACGTCATCTCTATAGAAAAGAATTATATAAAGAGAGAAAAAGAGAAGAGAGATATCCTTGTTTTATTGCGATAATAATGGACTGAGACACGGAAAATTTTATTATACACACAACGGCAAGTGAAATATCAAAATTAGATGATACTTCTATACTCCCCACCTCCAACCTTTAATCTTATGCTAATAATAATGGAAATAACTAAAAAGATCTGGGAAGTTACACATGAACAACTAATGGATTGGATTATAAAATCGTTGATTGGCTAACAGTTTGCTTATTTTCTTGGCTGTGGTCTTAACGAAGAGGACACAAAGCGTATTGCATGACTCCACGTAGCTTACTCAAGGTTTTATTGACATTATTAATAAGCTAAAAATAATACTGCCTTGTTCATTAAAGAATTAAAATTTTAACTAATAATTACTCTATTAATGAATTAAATTTTGTGGGTTTTATTTTACACGTTCATTTAGCTTGACTAGAACATCGCCCGGTCCAAATTTTTGCCGCTATACGCATTTGAGTTTAAGTTTTATACTCCGGTTAAGTTATCTATAATTATAGGTATGTGTTTATCAAAATATTATAATTCAATAACCTAAAAAAATAACGTAGTTAACTTAAAAAATAACTTGTAAAAGTTTTTTGCACTCTCAACATATATAACTTAAATTAATTTTTATTTGATACATAAATTTAAGTTATATTTACATCACCATATTGTTAATAGCATGTTAACCAGAAAGATAAAGCTACATGTAATTGCTTTTAAGTGACATGAGCTTTTAGACCGTCAATACAATAAAATTTAAACTCATATATCTTTTACATATTCATTTAGTGGCTCCTTTTTTTCAAAAATATATGAATGAGCATCCAATTTTTACACCAATTCATACTAATTAATATGCCATGATTAAGTGGTAACGGACAACAAAATTTAAACATTTTCTTCTTCTACTTTTTCTCTTAAATTTTCGTATCCAATTAATATCATCTCAAAAAATGGGACGGATACGTGGCTTCTTCAAAGTTTGACGACAGCTAATTATTTGAATACCGAAACAAAGAGAAGGCCAACTATTGGAGAATATGATGTATTTGAATTTGATGGTCATATTCAGAAAGAAAAAGTGGAAAAGAAAGAAACGCTAATTAAAGGCTGATATATACATCCATACATTAAGGGTGTGTTTGGTATAACGGAAAATATTTTCCGTAGAAAATGTATTTCGTAGAAAATATTTTTCGTAAAAAATATTTTTCGTAGAAAATATTTTCCAAAAAAATATTTTCTTAAAAAACAAGTAATAATCTTATTCATTTTTCGGTGTTTGGTACGCAAATTAAGAAAAATAACTTCTCAAGAGTATTCATAAATAATTTAGATACAATAAACATGAAGTCATAATCTTTCGAACCAACAACCTTTCGAACCCACAAATTTCATAAACTTTCGAACCGCTAAACTTTCGAAACCGTGAAATTTCGAACCCGTAAACTTCCAAACAGATAAACCTCAGTACTCATAACTTTGGAACTTGTAAAATTTCGAACTTGTAAATCGAAAGATGAAAAAACTAAAATTGAATATATATATATATATATANGGAAAATATTTTCCCTTCTCTTGATAAGGAAAACATTTTCCTCCAATGGGAGGAAAATGAGTTCATAAGAAAAATATTTTCCAAAACATTTAAGCCAACCAAACATAGAAAAATTGGAAAACATTTTCCGAAAAAAAAATTTCTTCATACCAAACACACCCTAAATATATATATTTGTACTAGCTTCTTACAAGGGAGTTTCGAAGAAATGGTAAAGTTATTTTCGTATGGCTTATAGGTTATGAGTTCGAACCGTAAAAATAATTATTAATACTTGTATTAGGGTAGACGGCATAAAGTAATATTTTTTTTGCTTCTTATCTTGTTGATTTTATCCTGGGAGCAAACATTGGTTGATTTAATTTAAAAGAGAAGGGACACGTCCCCCATTTAGTGATCACAAACAAAGGACGGCACCAAATCCCTTTGACTTCTTATTTTTCCTTTTCTATTTTTCCCTTGCTTCTCTCCCTCACTATATAATACAACACACACACTCAATCCACATGTACTTTCTTTACGGTCTGTTTTCTTCTTCACATCTCAACAAGTTCACATACTACTTATTTTTCTTCTCTCACTTTGAGTATTCTTTTTTATTAAAAAAAACTAAAGTATATTATAATTTTTACTATGGGAAGACCACCTTGTTGCGACAAAAATGGACTTAAGAAAGGGCCATGGACTACAGAAGAAGATCAAAAACTCATTGATTACATTCAAAAACATGGCTCTGGAAATTGGAGGACACTTCCTAAAAATGCTGGTATTTTTCTAATTTTTCTCTCCTTTTTCTTACTTATAAGTTGTAAGTGTATTTTAAAGTTTTTTAACAGTACTATTTTTTGTAAATATGTTTTTATAGGGCTTCAAAGGTGTGGAAAGAGTTGTAGGCTACGTTGGACTAACTATCTAAGGCCAGATATTAAAAGGGGGAAATTCTCCTTTGAAGAAGAAGAGACAATCATCCATTTGCATAGTATTCTTGGAAACAAGTAAGTTTTCCTTTTTTAATTAAAATCATTTAAAAGATATATTCGCTTTTTTAGTCATAATTCATTGTTAATATTTTCAACTTTGATGTAGGATCACTTTTTGTAGTCATAATTCATTTTTACAATTTTTCTACTTTCTCCATAGCTTAGAACTTTTTCCAACTAAAGTAACTACTATAGTAATTGTCATAAATGAAATTAAGTACCCAAAAAAAAAAAATTCATTGTCGACGTACATAAGTTAATTAAAAAAAAAATTGGGTCATACTCTAGAGTTGGATTCTTGCTCATTATATTGTATATCATTTTTGACTATAGGTGGTCTGCCATTGCTGGTCGCTTGCCTGGACGGACTGATAATGAAATCAAGAACTACTGGAATACACACATTCGAAAAAAGCTTCTGAGAATGGGAATTGATCCAGTGACTCATAGTCCTCGTCTTGATCTTCTTGATCTTACTTCCATTTTTAACACTTCACTCTACAATTCATCTCAAGTGAATCTTTCAAGGTTATTAGGTGTACAATCCCTAGTAAATCCTGAGATTTTGAAAATAGCCACTTCTCTCTTTTCTTCCCACCACCAAAACCAAAACCAAAATTTCTTATTGCCAAGTAATTTTCAAGAAAATCAACTATGTAATTCCCATGTCCAAAACCAATTGTCCCAATTTGTCCAAACTAGCCAAATTCAAACCCCTATTCAAAATATTCCATCTCTTCCATTTTATGGCGAAGCTCAAGTCATGCAACAACCTAATGTGGAGCAATTCTCATCAAATATTTCTAATTTTAGTTCACAAAATTGCCAATTAAGTGAGTGGCAAAATTTTACCTTTGAATCTCTTTTGTCAACTTAATCAACACCTTCATCAAGTCCAACTTCATTGAATTCGAACTCAACATGCATCAAGAGCAGCAGCACTATAATTTCTGAAGAAGAGAGGGAAAGCTACTGCAGCAGCATGTTGAATTTTGATATTTCAAATGGCTTGGATGTTAATCATGATTTTTTTTAATTTACTCTTTCATAAAGTTCCACTCAAAGATTTAGAAAAAAAGGTGTTTCTTGTTCGCTTAGCCTTGGACATATTGTTGTTTCCTTTATTTGTTAAAAAAAATATTAACTTCACTACTGCCTGAGTGGAAAATGGTCATTCTTTTGTTTTTTTGCTTCAAATTAAAAGGTCTCCATACAATAGGAATATCTTGTCAAACTTTGTATCCCTTGTTTTGCCCTTTTGTTTTCAAATGATTCTTGAGCGGAGGATCTATCACAAATAGATTCAATTTTCTATTTTCGAGGTAGGAGTAAGATATGTGTAATTTTTTCCGGACCTATTTATGGGATTACACTAGATTTGTTATTGTAATCAAATGATTTCCGAAAAGATTGAGAAGAACATGAAACATATAAATCAAATTAGAAGAGTTCAAAAGAGAAAGAAAAAAAATGTGCATTGATAGAGACATTGATGATGCTTGTCTCAACTACTGTATCCACGACTTTCCATAACCATCAATTTCGTCTTCCTTTTTTCTTAAAAGAATTTCTTCAACACATTAAATATTACAAAACAAAGGATTCTATAATCTATAAGTTTTGTAGTGGCTAGTCATCTTTAAGAGTGTTAAAGAAATGAAAATTTGATATATAATAATCTCTATAGATAGACAGATCACGAAACCAAAGTCACAATCACATCAAAGACTTTCCTTATTTATGCATTATTATTATTATTTAAACAACTCAATTAAATAAAGTGTCGTTCTTTTAGTATTTTTAGGTAGGCTGTATATATCTCACTGGATAAGTGACTATTCATACCCCAACTGGAAGATAATCTTCTAAAAGTAGAAGTATGAATAGATTAATGTTTGATAATTAGATGGTTCCGTAGATCCTAACAGCCAAGACACCGGAGACAACGCCGCCGTGTACCGTGGCCGGAGATTAAGAAGGTGACACGTGTTCCATAAGATGTCCTTTTCACGTTCAAATAACGTAATTCATAATTACATGGGTTTGTTTATTAAAATTAAAATTGCAAGATTTGACCAAAGAGGAGTACACGTGGTAGAGACGAGTACCAAAGGTAATTATAATGTGGGACCACGTTCCCCGAAAGGGAAACTATTAAAAGAAAGAAAAACGGGCCTCCAAATAATTAGCTTAATTGAAAACTCTGCGTGGCTGTTGTGTTAATTTTTGTTTTTTATGTCCTTGCCATGCAATTAATGAGGATGTGGGTCCATTTGCCTTCTGGCCACGTGGACTCATTTGAAGTTTGGGATTGGCTTCACTAGTTAAATATATTATAAGATGAATACGACAAAAACTGATCGTACAATATATAATTAAGGCGCATATACAGCTTCTAAGTAGTGACTTCTCATTGTCTCCTACAACGGAAGTTTCAAACTTAGGCTCTTTATAATAAGATGAAACTTTTTTACTGCATGTCCACGAAGGGACTAAAATAAGATAAACTCACGAGTTATAATTGGTTCTACAATTTTTTTTAGGCTATGATTGACAGTCTTATCCTATTGTAATTTAGTTCGATCATATTTTGTTTTTTCATATTTTTTCACTTAGGAAAATCATTATTTCTTGATTTCCTCCTATTATATAAAGTAGGCTCTTCACTAATTGTGAGGAGGTTGGTGGAATAGTATAGGGAGAAAGATGGACTTGCCTATACATTGACCTAGAGAAAACATACAACAAATTTTCAATGGAGGTTCTATGGAGATATTGGGAGACTAGGGGTATTCTTGTTGCTTACACTAGGAAGGTTAGAGATATGTACGATGGAGTTAAGACCCGGGTGAGGACAACAGGAGGGGAGATACGAACCACTTTTCAGTTGTGATTGGGTTGCATTAGGGGTCAGCTCTTAGCTCATTTTTATTTACCTTAATTGGCGATGGACACACTGACGCGCCATATTCAAGGAAAGATGCCATTAATTTATGTTATTTGCAAATGACATTGTACTAATTGATGAGACGCGAGGCTATATTAACACGAGACTGGAGGGTTGAAGATAGATCCTGGAGTCTAAAGGTTTCAAGGTGAGTAGGACCAAGATAGAACACTTAGAGTGCAAGTTCAGTGAAGGGACCAATGAAGTGGACGTGAACGTGAGGCTTGATATATAAGTCATCCTTAAGAGAGATAGTTTCAAGTATATTGGGTCTATTATCCAAGAAAATGGAGAGATGGACGAGAATGCTACATACTGTATTGCAGCGAGATGGTGAATGGAGGCTCGCATCCAGTATTTTATGTGATAAGAATGTGCCATTTAAACAACCTGGGACAAAGTGTTGGCCAGTCAAGAACTCCCATGTCCCGAAGATGAAAGCAGCAAAAATGAGGATGTTGAGATGGATGTGCGGACATACCAGGATTATAAGATTATGAATAAATATATTGGGGTCAAGGTGGAAGTAACCCTGGTGGAGGACAAGAAGCACAGATGTCTCAGTAAGGAGGAGTGAGGGGTGGCCTTGGTGGGTCTGAAGAGAGATAGAGGTAGGATAAAGAAGTATTGGGGAGAGGTGATTAGGCAGGATATGACGTTGCTTCAACTTACCGAGGACATGACCCTTGATAGGAGGTGTGGAGGTCGAGGATTGAGGTAGAAGGCTAGTAGTTAGTCGAGAGTGTTTCTTAATTTTCTATACCAGTGGTATTACTGTTAGTCTTGTATTCTATTATTGTTAGATTTCTATTATTACATGTTGTTCGTTTCGCTTCGTTTTCTTATAATTATCTTGTTGTTACTGCTTTTTTTTTTTTTCAATCTTTCCTTGAGTTGGGGTTCTATTGGAAACAACATCTATACCTTCAAGGTAGAGGTAAGATCTGCGTAGACACTACCCTTCTCAAACTCCACTTGTGTGATTATACTAGATTTTTTTATTTTGTTGTTATTGTTACTGCTGCTTCACTAATTGTGATGACGATATAATTAAATGAATAAAAGTTCTAATAGTAATTTAATTAAATGCAAAAATTTACACATTTAAATATTATATCATAGTGGATAGAGGTTCTGGTTCAAGTCTTACATCACCTAGTATTAAAGAAAAATCATGTGTTTGACCTTTGAAAAGGAATCAAACCCACATACGAGGAAACATGTCAAAAATATAATTCTAAATGCATAAAACTATATCCTCTAGCTCTAATACATTAAATTTTTAAATGAGATGGTTCACACAATTTAACAAGATTGAATATTGAATACCCCGCACATGAATATAGAGGGCGTTTTTTTATGGTATTTCAAATTGTCTTTAAAATTACATTCACATTAAAAGTTACTGAAAATTTTGCAGATTAACAAACTCTAAACGAGCGAAATGATATTTCTACAAAGAAAAATATAGAAACGCATACTTATAAATGACTTTATTAGAAAGTTGAATTAGCTACTTCAATTCAAAATAAATTTCAAGTGGATGAAATCGGCCAAATGTCTTGGTTAAAGACGGGACTGCACATATCAATGAATTCAACGAGATTTAAGATGGCAAATTGATTGACTTTGCAAATTAAAGCCGGGTGCAAACAATTATTCCCTGAATCTTAGGAACTGTCGTATGTCAACGGAACAAGTAGAGACAAGATAAAAAGTTATGGGTTCTGAATTTGCTGTTAAATTCATAATTTATTTCAATTACTTGATTCGTAATTAAATATTTATATATTTTAAATGAACTTACTAGGTAATATAAATATGATCGTCTCAACCAATAACTAATATTGTAGCTCTGCCCCTGAGGTGACTAATTATATACGGTCAAATTTCTCTATAACAACCTTATTTGTTTCGAATTTTTTTGGCTATTATAGCGAAATTCTGTTATAGAAAACATATACTTAGCATAAAATTGATTCCATAAAAACTTAACTTTTATAATAAATTGTTATTATATAACAATATTGTTATAGAGGGGTCTGACCATAAAATTAGCGTAGACTCAAAGGTCTCATACAACGAAGGTTTATTATGGCCTCAAATTCATCCTTGGGATTGAAAAGTGTACACAAATAGTCAACTCCTTAGGTGAGAGGTTGAAGAGCACATCCACATAGCCTACCCAAACAATAGCCACAAAAGCTCTAAAGCTTCTATTGCCTTATATTTAGGTCAACCTCAATCCCATATAAGGTAAAGTAATTAAGATTCCTAAGTATATCCCCCTAAACACTTATGTCACCCATACGTACACCAACAATCAGCTGTGATTGACTATTCTTACACAAGATAAAAGTAAAACTGTACTCGACTGCGTATTTAGAGTCAAGATTTAATTAACGTTGAAGAACAAAATGATACATCCACTGGTTTGACTAATCACCGACCATAGCCGTAGAGTCATACTCTCACCAGGGTTGAATATTGCATTAAAGCAACAAATTCAATCAAAATTATAATTTTCGATGTGAAGCATATATAAATTTATGTGGAAAGAGGTTTTTTGTCTTTGCTAGCTTACGTTTCCATCTCCTTTTTTTCTTCCTAAAATCCTTTTCCTATTGTCTGTGTTTTTGTTTTGTTATGATTCTTTTTCCATGGTTTTTATATGATAGTATGCCACTTGAGAGAATACATGTTCAAAGCAAGGAAATTATGTCCACAAGGAATAAGAAAATGGGACCTTTAATTTTCAAGGAATTAATTTCATTTTCTTGTTTTCTCCATTTATTAAGATGATGCTCCTCTTCATTTTTTTTGTGGGGATTGTAACAACCTGGTTTTTAAAGCAACTTTATGTGTTATTCTCCGATGATAGGATCAAAATTGTATTATTGTTTCTTCCAATTGTATATAACTTTGTATTTGTATTTGTTATTGATTTACATTCTTATATATTGCTCCTGTCTGCAACAAGAAATACAAGCGCGTGCATTCCTCATATAGATTATAAGTAAAAGTTTTATTTGATAAAATATGACAAAAAATAATTTTATAACTTTATTCTTATAATTAATGAAAAATGATAACTTTATGCCATAATAGGTAAAGTTCAACTTATGAAATGTGACTATATATAATGGGTAAAAATTAGTTTTTTGATCGCACCGCCAATGATTTGATGCACCGACCATAGTCGTATGTATAATCATGAACTCACTTTCTCTTTTCTCACGACCGCCCAAAGAAATTAAAGTTTCTTAGTTTTGAATATAAATTAGATTCCAAAAGTTCGTTTCTGTCATCGCTTGTGTTTTCATTTGCTTGAATTGAATAGAAAAATGGCAACTTTTCA